TAGAATCTATTGTTTTAGAAACATGTTAGAAAGTTAAATGCTGATTGTTCTAAAATAAATAAGGTATTAAATCAGAATTTTGCGTCATTCAAATTATGTTCAGCACAAATGAGTAGCTGTTGATTACTATTAAATAAAAAGCACCATTAAATAATTTCCAATAATATATAAGCTGTGCACATTGTTTTTAGCAATATTACAGCCAGTGATTAACTATTAAATATTTGTCAAAATCGATATGTATATATATATATATATATATATATATATATATATATATATATATATTGTAGATTTTCGAACAAGAATCCAAAAAGTAATAAAAAACAAAAAAAGTTTTTTTAATAAACTATTTCTTTATTTATTTATTTACTGTCGACGTTTCAGAACTAGGTACGTTCCATCTTCAAGACATCTGTGAAGAAACATGATCTTGGTATTTAAATCTTATCTAGACCTGCCTTCGGCAAAGACTAATCAGCACGTCTCCTTATCAATACGAATCGAATGTTTTTTGAATTATTCAAATCGCTTCATCCGTGTTCCCGAAATCGTCGACGAAAATTTGTATCCGCACACACATACACACATACATTCATTTTTTCTAAGGTATGCCAAAATGTTCAGAAGGTTTTGAAACGTAAAGACATATAAAAATTTTCATTTTCGATTTTTTTGCGATTACTATAACTTGCCCTACGGGAAGTTAATAATTCAAAATGGCTATCAAAACTAAAACGATATATTTTTAAACCATTGAGTATTTGTAAAAATTGGTAAAATAGGAAATAATTTTGATGCTCTACGAAACAGCATTTTAACCAATTTTTTAAATTTTTTTTTAGTTTATCATAAACTGGCAGGAAAATTTGCATTTATATTTTTTGCACTGCTTTGTCTTGATGTTTCAAATTTTGAATTAATAGTAGCAGTATTGAATTTTAGGTACAATTTCAGGGCAATTATATTTGCATTTTAGAAATGCATTATTTAAAAAAGGTAGTAAAATAAGTAAAATTTCAATACATTTTTGATAATTTTACTATTTTGTTGACTGTACCAAAAAATAATGAAGAAGAGAGTACCCAAGCAACATAATAAATTTGAAAATGTTTAATAAATATTAATTTAAAGATTATAATAATAACATTTTTTGAAGAAAATTATTACAGAGAAGGAGCAAATATTTTTGAAAATGTATTCCTGAAATGCGAGAAATTATGAACAAATCGAGGAAATATTTATAGTAAATTGCATATAACTTTTTGCAAAATTTTCAAGCTATGAAAAACCATAGTCAGCTATGAAGTATGAATGCCAAGCTATAATGTATATATGTTTAAAATAGCACTTTTGGACTTACAATAATAATGAAGATGAGGGATGCTAAAGCTTTACAATGCATATACAATTAATTATATCAAATGTGCTTCAAAATAAAATTTATATTACTTTTATTGAAATAAGCTTAAAATTTATGAAAGTATATACATAGGTGAGATTAGAAGAATTTTGTGCCTTTATGTGAATATGAAGTTCGTCCCTGCAAGTAAACAGAGGGATTTAACTGCAAGTAGTAAAGCCGGCTATAAATAATAAATGGAACTCATAAAAACATACATACACACGTAGAGGGTATGTGTTCAAATGATCACACCTATATATAAATATAAATATATATCTATACATATATATGATATGTTTATACATATTGCCAGACAACCCCATATATGTATGCGATAAAATTACATTCTTTCTACACGACCATTCATAAAATGTCATATTGACTGCACACACTTGCACACAGAAAATTTATCACAAGTTTACAGAAATACACACACACATACATATATATATATATATATATATATATAAACTTTTATTATTGATCAAACATCAATAGAATTATTGCAAGATTTATGCCCATGTTGAATCAAAATTGCATTGTTTATATTGTTGCATGTTCCTCATACATAAAATGGTAGCACACAAATACCGAACTGACAAGGGAAAAACTAGCTCGATGAAATTCAAAAGAAATCAATTTACTATTAATGATTGTGTAAATATATAGTAATATATTGGATTTAATCACGCCATTGTTCATAAATAACTGTTTCCCAACTATTGTAAATAATAAAGATGGTGAAATATTCGGGGGTAGTTTTATATCTCTATGCTCCACGTGTAGCTCTGATTTGGAGAACATTGTAAGAGATTTGGAGAATTTATCAATTTAATGCTTGTAGTTGTTTTTGGCATAATTTATTAGATTTATTTATTTGTCTTTAGGCTTGAATTAAACCAACTTGATTTTTGTGTAATTAATCCATCTAAATTGTGAATTGCTCAAACCATACTAACAAAATGTAATGGTCTCGATTGACCATTTACAAAATATGCAAGAGTTCTGTTTGCAAAAAATTTTTTTCTTGCATATTTTACAAATGGTCAATTGAGCATTCATTGATTGAATTACATTTTTTTATAAAAATGATTACTAAAACTCAGAATGGTAATTGCATAAACTCCAAGAGTTGATGCACTGAATTATCAAAGACAGAAATAGATAATATAAATCCAAGAAAGGCAATACACCTCAACATCCCTTTTGGATGTGGATGTCATCAAAAATAGCTGTACTAGACATCATGCTAAAATTTTCGATCATCCTAATGCAACTTTGGCTCTGCTTGATAATTCATCTATAAGACCACACAAAAAAACAGCCTATAGACTTAATGTAAAAAAATTGTTTTCCATAGTCATTTGCTTATTGGAGCAATTACTACAATTGATTTTGTTTTCTTTTATTTTTTATTTATTTATTTTTCTTTATTTTTAATTCATTTTTATTTATTTATTATTATTACTATTTTTATTCCTTTCTGTAATTATTATTATTATTTCATTATCATTATGTATAATTTAGCCATATAACTCATAGGGTCTGTAAACAACTCTGATTGTTTAATATGAATGAATAATAAAAGAAAGAAAGGCAATACTACATCAAAAACAAAAAAGTTATTAAAGTGAATCAGATAAAAAATTAAGTAAGTAGTATAACTTCAAAATTTATTTTCAAATCACTATTTAGAAATAAATATATTACTATCAGCAACCAGCATAGAATTATTTGGTGCTATCCAAATGCAATTTGGAATATTACATTTCAAAAAACAAAAGTTCACAAAATTTAGCATTCAGAACTTTTAGATATACCATACAAATGCCATAAAAAGCTATTACTTGGAAACAAACATATTTCGATTTACAATTCTGAGAAAAAACCGATGCCATTACTGCTTAACATCAGACTTTAACGAAATTGTCCAAAAATTAGGGAAAAAATACTCTCCCAAGAATATCATATATTATTAATAAGAAATATGACTAATCTTCTTGTTGAAAACCCAAAGTTATATCATAGCCACAAAAAGGCTAAATTATAAACTACAAAAATGGAATAATAATTAAAGTAATTGTTTTTCTCCAGTGACATCAACAAAAAATTTAAAAAAATAATAAAAAAAGCCCCAAAGCTCTAGCCACTATATCACGGAAAAGACCAAACTATAAGCTACAAAAATTAAGTAATAATTAAAAGTAGATATTTTTTCTAGTAACAACTTCTCGGACGTATTTTCATTTTATTATATTTGCCATGAACGTGACAATCTTCATGGCATTGAGCTTTTACGCGGGATGGTTGCTACCTCTGGTAGAGGGCGTAGCGTAGAGTTTGATAGGACTAATCCTAGATAATATAATAATGGGACTAATTGTTCACTTCAAAAAGAAAAGTGTTTAATGTGAAAACATGTTTGATAGGACTAATCCTAGATAATATAATAATGGGAGTTATTATACCCATTATGCTAATTGTTCACTTCAAAAAGAAAAGTGTTTAGTGTAAAAACATGTTTAATAAATAACCAATAAATATATATCTTCTTTCATTATAATTTAGTGACAAATCAGTGATTGTAATAAGAACTGCAACAAATACAATAACCATACAAAACAGCTACAAGGTTTAAATTATAACCCAACAACCTGAGTTAATCGAAAGAGAGTTTTAATAAATTTCATAACTACGGTGGCGGTATACAATAACAAAAACTTTTAAAAAATGACATCTTCATTTATAATGCAATGCTGCCGTGTATCCAGAAAAAAGTTCCTCATATTCAGCAAATGCTAATTCCCAAAATGTCTATTATTCGCCAGAAAATCTTAATAATTTGATAAGTATACAATTTAGATATATCATTCATTTCTCTTAAACCAGAACACTAAATAGTAACTAAACAACAGTTATTTTTCGCAGTTTTAAATAATGTGAGATCAGTAAATAGTAAATGGAGCCATTGGAACAGTACACACTTAGCGTTTGAATATAATTTGGGTTAGGTTTATTCACAAGCATATTAGCTCAACACCTTTGTTTTCATACAGAACAAAATTTATATCAAATCTTTAGGGGAAAAAATTTAAAAGAACAGTTTTTGTGAAGTATTGTTGGCTTCTGTTTTTTCTTTGTTAATAATTACATAATTTTCAAATAGGGCAATGGATGGCTATAAAAGTATATAATTAATGAATAATATGCATATGTATAGAATTTATTGATTCTGCATTGATTGATTTATTGAGTTATACCTATTAATTAATATTTTTCAAAAAACCTAAAATGCATCAAATTTTTGTTAATAAAGCAATATAAATATATTGATTTATTTATAAATATTAAAGCTTATATAAATATTAGGTTGGGGGGAAAAAATGGATTTCTTTCTCTAAAAAATGATATAAAATATATGCAAATACCAAAAGCTCAGTAGTCCTTTAATGTTATTTTTTATAAAGTATTTGTGGATAAACAGACAAGTAATCATTTACCATTATAAATGTTTCCTACATGATATATATATTTTTGAATTTTCTATATTCCGATTATAGAGATAATTAATTTATAATATTAAACTATTACTTACCACCAATTAGCCGAAGTGTCATGTAATAAACTCAAAACCATATTTAGAACGAAATAAATATTAGTGCGACACCGATGCTTGTGAAGCAAAATCATCTTTCCTTCATTAGCCAATAGATCCGGGTTAAATATATTCACCGTGTGACCCCTTCATCTGAAAATAAACACAAATTCTCACATCACAAATTTAAAAGTTGCTAAAAGCTAAAACTTAAATTGCATTGTTTATTGCCGCTTACATCTATATGCAATTTAAACGCTGAAATCAGCATTATTTTTTTTTGAAATCAGAAATGTTGATAAAATCTACAAATAAGATGATGCACTTGTGAATCACACTTACAATTAAGAAAATTGTACAGATCGATTATTCAATTAAGAAAATCCGAAAAATATATAGACAATCAAGCAATGGAGTATTAAAGAGTCTAAAATAATTAAAGTAAAATGAAGACAATGAACTTTCTATAGCCAAAGTGATCTTATGGGGACTGCGATGTGACAGGCAATAAGAAACTCTCCATATTATATATATAATATATATTCATTCTCTTTCCCCTTCCGTTTCTCACACCCCGCTCCCACTCCTACACTACACTTGCTTTGTAACCTTGATCAGTGTCCATAGTGCTCCGCTATTAATAACATAAAATATAGGAGGGCAATATGTGCTCCTTCAATTTCTCGTTTGTTAATATAATAGTATATTATTATTTTACACAAATTTAGTGTTCAATCAATTTTACATCATAATTAATTTTTTCTGTTGTTTTTCCTGGTATATATATATATATATTTATATTTATTATCAACTTTGTATTTATGTAATATGTTTTATAGATTACTGAATGATGACACACATCAAGTGTCGAAACGTTTAATGGAATAAATAATTTTGTTATTTAATCTTTTTTTAATTCGACGATTGGGCTGCAAAAATATTACAAATATGTATCAACGTCGGCAAAACTATCATAATATATTATATATATATATGTATATATATATATATATATATATATATATATATATATATATATATATAACACATACATTCACTGGCACCTAAATGCCGTCCTCTATTCTTACTCTTTTATTATTTGTTCACTGATAACAACCAGAAGAATTTCATTCCAAAACAAAGTTGTAATAAAAATATAAGTTTTTCCTTAAAAACAAACTAAGTATACATTCCATGCAAACATACATACATGTTATATCTTATATCTGCGAGTATGTATATAAAGAAGTGTAATTTGCAGTATTTTGTAGTTTTATCAAAAGCGATTTGGTAGAACTAAGCAATCCTAGAGGAAGATTCTAATCTTTAAGAAATATTAGAATTCTCCGTCGTAATAGAAAACACGAGCAAAATGAAGGAAATATTCTTATATGCTTATATAGCAAAGTGTGGAGAATAAAAGAAAATATCAGAGGCGTAGATTTAAATAATTTTAGTAATCTACAAAAAGTATAAAAATTGTAACTGAATAAACGTTTAAAATTAAATCTGCCAGGTGCTTAGAAATGAGTCATTGGGTTATGGAGATTTAGTGGGTGGTTTTGGAGTACCACACAAAAAAATTGATTTTAAGTAAACAAAAAAGTCCCATAAATATGACTTTTAATCGAGTCTTTTAAGTATTGTAGTTGATTAATCAGGTTTAATAATTAATTGTAATGCTTTTGTATTATAATTTAGTAAATAGTCAATCAGAATATTGATACTTCTGTTTTCTTTATTCGTTACAAATTTGGATATTTTGGATATAAGTATTTCCTCTATCCTTACATTTCTTGTATTTGATGTAGATGTATTAGATATACAATTCACAATATTCAAACAACCAAAATACAAAATACAACGAAGAAAATGCTAAAATAATTTTGTGCCTTGATTTCTTCAAATATGAAACAATCACAAATAAGTAAATTCTATGAAACACCAATTACATGCCCATAAATCAACATCAGTTTTACGTACAAAGTAGAAAAACAACTCTTATGAGCAATAGTAGAGAATGTTGGAATTGGGCATAAAATATGCTAAAAGTATAAAAATACGAAAATCTTATACGTGATATAAGAAAGTAAATTACTCTGATTTCGGAAATATGCGGAATATTCCGCACATCCCAGAAAAACAAGTAAATTAACAGTATGTCATATAGTCAAGGAACAATCAAAGCTTAATGTAATATCATAGTTTTATGTTGTTATTGGACGCTATCCAAAAAACATCTAGAAAAATTCCAATTAAAGCTTAGAAGGGTCAAGATATTCTCCAATATATTGAAGATTCATAAAAAAAATAATATTAATTGCATTAGGGTAGGTAATATAAATAATTTGATAGAGGTTAATAAAATATTATTGAACAACCATTGGGTTGCCTTCTCATCAGCAACTGTGTTAAGGAGAAGTTACACCACATCATCTTACAATTAGAGCAGTTAAGTTTTGAATGAAAATAAAAAATAAAAAATACAATATTCAATGCTTTAACGTTATAAAATACTTATTTGTATACTAAAACTAAGGCACTGTGGTTTTACCTGGCTGTTGAAAAACCTTTTAACTTAGGTAACCTTAGGTAACAAACAGCATCTGATATTTGAAGAGTGAAATCATTAATTTTGGTATTTATTGCCTTAATACTCATTTTTATCTAATATAAATTACAATCTGTCTTACATTAGACATTTAGTTAATGGAATGGCACATTTAATTATAGTGGCTTTTAAAAGACTTCCTTGTGATAAATCTTATATTAATGAACATAAAATATTAATAATTATAACATATAAATTTCACAAAAATCTGTATCTATACACTTACTAAACATTTTTTTTATTTGAACAGAAATCAGAAATTGTAAGGGCTGTTGTAATAAAACTTTTTCAATGTAAAGCTTGTTAGATTTAAGGCAATCGTTGGCCTATCTCTATATTTCATATATTTTTTATTAGAATTTTTCCGATACAGATGTTTTTTAATTTGATGCAGATATGCTGGAGAAGAAAACTTTCACTTGAAGACATAACAGCCTATATCAAATGAAAATCGTTGTCACTATACTGATTGACATCAGGCTGCAAAATTAGGTATCAAACCTTGAATCTGGTTGGAAGGTCTAAACACTATAAGTTATGGGAAATCCCAAATTGTGAATTAAATTCATCAAAATGGTTAATAATATACTCGTATTACAAATTCCTCTTTTATAATTTTGAGTGAATTTTCTAATTTCATCTCTCACAATATTCGAATTTGTATCATTTTGTATAATCCAATTCGGTGCTGAGATTACTTGATTATTATCAATTTTTAATATAAATTTCAAAATTATCTATTTACATTTTAGAAATAACAAATTTCAGTAATAAACCAGTAATGATAAAAAAACAATATGTTTTTCTTTGAAAAAGAACCTCCGAAAATACACTTAAAAAGCTATAAGTTCCAAAGTGTCATAATTAATAGTTGTTATAGATAAATATATTGAATCACTTCATTGATATATAAGTATTTTTTTATTACTTCAAATATATAAAAGGCTTGTTTTTTTATTTTTCACAGATAGAAAATTTCTTCAAATATTTGTTTAATAGAGATAAGATATCTCAAAAAGTTCTAAAATTTACTTAAAAAATACTAATCGTTTATAAATGTAGGCTCTAGACACGATAAGTGTTAAATAAAGTTGGAAAGCTGATTAAATAAAATATTGATAGAATCAATTGCTCATTATCGATATTCCAAACTAACTGATTTTTTAAATAATATATTAGGACTTTATAAAATTGCATTAGTATGTGATTTTTACATGATAGAATTTATGAAACTTTACTTCGCGTTTGTAAATTGCTAGAAAGGACAATTTTACCAATTTACCTATTTTTGCAAAATTTGTGTGTTTCATCAACTGAAGAAAATGAATATTTGTGTAGAGTCTTAGTATATTAGTATGAAAAAATTCTTGTCCTTATATTTTATTATTGGAAATGATTTGCGATATTTGAATTGATTTTAAATAATCAATTGGGTCACTTACTGACCCTAGGGTTAAATTTGACCAATATAAAACTTATAGATTGTAAATATCAGTATTAATCAGGAAGTGGAATGGAGTATCTTAAATGCCACCAAGTATATTTATCGCAAAACGATTTAAAATGTATGATCTATAGAGTGCATTTATTATCGGCTGATTTAATATGAAATTCAGGTTTCGATATATGATTATTTATTTGCAGCCGATTTCTTATCGCGCTTTTACAGGCTGTAAAAGTATCAAATTCTTATGTACTAAAGATCCTCCAACTGCAGGATAAAAATGTACGAAAATGTGGTTCCACTTCATGGTTTAGAAGGACTAAGTACGACTTTTAGTACTAATATTAATACCTCAACTAGAAATCAATTTAGTGATCCATTTTTTGTACATTTTGATGCTAAAAATCGTCTCTACCCTATTGGAGAAACTTCGAATTCTGTTGAAATATCGTTTAACATATTTTGAATCCTAAGAGGTGATTGAAACATTATAAACACTTTAGCATCATTTTTCGCAAAGTAACATTTATTTTCAAAAAAAAACCTTTGCTTTATTATTATATGTGTTCACCATATGTTATTCTACCAACATTTGTCAAAAAAAAAACGTACCTTTCTGCTTGAAATAAATTTTCATTCTCAGATGGTAGCTACTCAATACCCATTATTCACGGTGAATTAAGGGCGATAATCTTCAAAGACATAAATTATAAGATTATGAGAGACCGTGTTAATTTTTTGTTTAGGAATTTTTTTTTGAAAGAGATTTACAAAGCCTATTGTCGGACTGGGAATGATTTTTTTTTTAACGTCGATGTGGATACATGAATAACAAATTAACAATATCACTGTATCGATGATGATCGCAATATATATTTCAGAAAAATCATCTGCCGTAAAGATTTCAATCGAAATTGATAACTGATGCAAAAACGATATAAAGGATATTGACATTGTTTTTGAACAGCAATCAGAACTGCGTTGCTGTGATGAAATTTCTTAAATTCCTGTCTTTTCCAAAGGCAACCCAACGGTTGGCCTTTCTACTTGCAAATATTTTCATTCGAAACTTGATGAGCCAGTGAAATTAACTCTAGGAAATCCAGTAGGAATCCTTGAATCACTTCATACTTTGGAAGCATCCTGACAATAGACGCAAACTAAGTCTTGAATTGCAAAATAAAGAAGTGTTATTCATATTAAAAAGTGTTATTCGAGTGCAACTGTATATCACTACTGCTTGATATCTGGTTGGCTTAAATGCAGGTTTGAACCTTGGATTTCGCCAAACCAATATCTAACTACGAACCCTTCCATTCCCGAATTTAATTTAATAACTGTTACTAAATCTGTCCAGAGGCATAGCTCTGTACGGATCAGAGACATGGACTCCAAGAAAGGCCAACAAAAAGTATCTGCAGATTTTTGAAATGCAGTGCTGAACATGCATGGAAAAGTGGACAGGCAAGATAACAAATGAAGAAGCCCTGAGAAGTGTGAGCAAAGAAATAGCTATACTGAGCACAATCCTGAACAGAAAAGGAAACTGGATCGGACCCATTTTTCCAAAAGAGCGCCTTTTACATGACGTAGTGGAAGGTAAAATAGAAGGACTGAAAGGAATGGTAAGAAGAAGAAGAATGCAGATGATTGATGATATACGCGAGAAGAGAAAACACAGGGAACTAAAAGCCGAGGCGCGGGATCAGGAAGCATGGAAGCAGAAGTTCTGAAAGGAAAATTCTTAAAAAATGTATAAAAAAGGAGGAACACTGGTAATGGGAATGATATGAAAGAAAAAGATCATTGACTTGTGGTGGTTCTCACATCATTGACCTGCCTTCGGGCAGACTACCATTTATCATTGTTATTATATTTTTATTACTTGATTTTCTCTAATATTTATGATATATGTTTAATTTAATGCAGCAACGCCAGAAAGGATTATTTGCACTTGTAAACCTATTTCAGATCTATATTCTCAAGTGAAAACTGATATCACTACTGCTTGATATCAGAATGTCAAACCTGAGTTGTAAGACCTTTGGGTTGCAAGACTGTAATTATCAATACAGAGCCATAGAAAGCCCTATTTCAAAGGATATTTCAATTTTTGTGGGTTGACGATAAAAACAAATCATATCCATAAATATTAGAGCGGGTCGATTTGTATCGGTCAAAAAAAGTCGCTCAAACACATATGATTTTCGGATACTAGGAATCAAAATAAGATACTTTGCTGAAGAAACCATACCTCTAAAATAATTTTTAATGTCCCGTGAATTGACCCAAAGATAAGGGTTAAAATTTGAAAAATTCTATTTTGACCCATTTAGAGTGGGCTTTAAAAGGCTGATTCACCCATGTAGTTTTTCAAAATGTAACCCTTATTTTTGGGTCAATGCACGGGATATCAGAATTTATTTTAGAGGTATGGTTTCTTCAGCAAAGTATCTTATTTTGACCCGTAGTATCCAAAAATCATATGTGCCTAAGTTACATTAAAATCGACCCACCCTAATAAATATATATTTGTCATATACTCCAGATAAATTTGCCTAGTGTACCCTTTACCTAATGTTGGGCCATTATATTATAGCTCTAATTAAAATTGTATTAATTTATTATTACCATATTCATATTAAAAAATTTACGTTGATATTTTCTTTCGTTTTCAATGATTTTAACATTTATTTCAATGAGTGTATCATTAAAACTGGTTTCGTTTGATGTTCATTTTACGTTTCATTAATACTATCTTAATTAGACGTATCGCTTTATAATAATATCCTTAATTGGCCATTTTATCACTAATTACTTAATTATTATTGGATAAGTTCTAAATTATATTTATCTTTAGAAGTAATGAAGTACAAATGAAAATTGAACAATGTTGAGGGAATATGGAAAGACAAAAAACATAATAGGGAAGGGCGGAGCACAAAGGTCCAATTTGACTTTGAGCAATTATATTGTAAAAACCAAACCAATTATGTCACACCAATTAACACGACATATCAAACAAACAACTATCTGACTATGACTATGTTCAGTAAAACTATCAGCTACTTCATGATTGTAAAAATGTGTTGTTGCTGTTTTTCAAAAATTTGCCACTTGTTTTTTTTCACCTCATAAGTGGGATAAATTAGGACTGCCAAAGGTCAAACCAAACCAACGATTTTTTTAATTTAAAGGGATTTTAGAAAATAATAGAAACACTATTCAACCAAAGCAAAATATAATTTTAATGGGTGCATTTATTACAGAGACAACACTGTAAATAACCTAATTTAAAATAATAAAATTTTCAACAAAATAAATATATTCTTATGGCTATAAGTAATTGTTTAGATAAATTTCTTGTTATAATAAGTTTTATATATTTTTTGGATTTGGGAGTTTTGGATTTAACAAAAATGGCAAATGAACTTTCTGGAAATATGGTAATAAAATATATTTTGATTTGAATACTCTGGGCATTGCGATGTATTGGGCAATATGAATGTTGTCATATCTAATTATATTAATATAATCGAACCTTATCTCCGATAAAAGTAATTCATTATAAACTTCCCGTAGGGTAAGTTATTGTAATCGTCCAAAAATCGAAAATTTTTATATATCTTTACGTTTCAAAGGTTTTTGAACATTTTGGCAAACCTTAGATGGATGGACAAACCAAAAATGGATGTATGTGTATGTAAATGTGTATGTGAGTATGTGTGTGCGGATACAAATTTTCGTCGACGATTTCGGGAACACCGATCAACCGATTTGAATAATTCAAAAAACATTCGATTCGTATTGATAAGGAGACGTGCTGATTAGTTTTTGGCGAAAGCAGGTCTAGCCGTTCCGAACATACGGGGCAAAAAGTGCCAAAAACGGTAACTCAGTTTTTAAGAGAACGGAGCGTCCGATTTTAATCATTCAAAAATCATTTTACTTCTATTGACAAGATGAAAAACTGATTTTTGGGAAGGCACGTCTAGCGGTTATGGACTCTCAATAAAAATAAGTTAACAAAATGTCATTTTGCGGTCAAAAAAGTTTATTGGACATATGTACATTAAATTATCAGATAATTTATAGAGATTTTAATAATGTGTACATATTTTGTGTAATTTTTTTGCGGTTCTGTACCAAGATTTTTTATTACGGTACGGGAAGTTCCAGCAAATTGCCTTAAGGCACGATGACATGCACCCCACTAGTTTTTAATGTAATTGAATCTTATCTTCGAGAAAAGTAATTGATTATTATTATTCATACATGATATTTACGTATATATTATTTGTCCGTATAATTACGTGAAATTATGTATTTTCAAATCATAACACAATGATGTTATATATGTATACGTAAATTCGTGAATGTTACAATCCAAACTATATATATTTTGTAACTCGAAATATTAAATTATTAATCAACTACTTAACATCTGTCAAATTATTACTACAGTCTCAACATTTATAAAACGTAAAATACCTGTAGTAATTATTTTTCTTCTTCAAAACTGAACATTTGTGAAATATATTTGTATAATACAATCAGAATAAAAAAGCATAAGAAGGCATCTTACCTCGTTTTAGTTTCCTATATAGGTATGTTTACCCAAAAAAACGGTTGTTATATTTTTTGTTTGTTTTCAATTTCCTTCAGCAATCAAGTTCATTGTTATCGCAAACACTTAACTCCAAATTTATAAGTCATAAGCGCATATAACCGAAAAAAAACACACACTATTCAGACAAATCACTGTTATAATTAATTTTGTTTATTAAATATTGATATGTTAATCATCGTCAAGAGTCACAATTTGTTGAAATTTCTATCTAAATGTAGACGTTGAATCGGTATAAATACGTGTTTACGAAAAAAATTAAAAAACGTCTACACCCTACGAGGAATGCAGCCGAACTGAATGTTTTTGAAGTACGAAACGGTACGAAAACGTTAAAAAGACGAAAGGTTACGGATGCGCGCGAATACCAACGAACTCATAAAATTATACATGTATATATATATATATATATATATATATATATATATATATGTATAATTTTTTTTATTCATTATTATTTATAATATTTATAATTTATGATTTTTTTTTAATAAAGTCGATTTTTCAAAAAAAAAAATCATTTAATTTTACATGTATGTAATTATTTCTACGTTTGAGGTATATGGAAATTTAGTGATGGGCGTTGAATCAACGAACGGTTATTTTCAACCGTTTCTTCTTCGTTAACTAACTAACCGTTTCGTCGCAACGAAATAACTAGTTGAAAATCAACTGGTTTCGAAGCAGTTGAAAACATGGCGGCCAGTTAGTTTTTTCAACGATATAGGAATTCGTTCGTTGTCGAAAACGAACGTAGGCAGGTACCTGCGTCGGAAAGGATCAACTAATACTATGAAAATCGCTTATTGTCAGGCTACTGCTTTTATAATATTGCAAATGTACATGTACATCTTAAAAGAAACTTGCAACACGCGCCAAATCGTTTAATTTTAGAAAATCAGTTACATTTATTATAGTTTTCAATGGTTAATTTTTTCATAAAAATCTCATAGCATTTGTCTTGTAATAATTTTTTTAAACTAAACCTGAAAATTGATTTTTTATTTTTTATAACATTTTATATAACTATACATTTTTATATTGCTAATTTTATATAAAATGTAAATTCGATGTTTTAGTATATGGCTTTGCTGTAATGAAAATATTTAAGTTTTTTAAATTAAACCTTTATTTTATATATATATATATATATATATATCTATATATTAATGTGTGTGTGTGTGTGTAATAAATGTGACAATTCACATTTACTTCTTTTATTCATCAAATCCAACGTCAACCTGACTTTTATAAGAACACAAACTTCATATATATTACCAACTTTCAATGAAACTGTTATTTCAACTATCAGTTTCTTAACGTTGCCAGCGTTGAATCGTTAAAAATAACTATAGTTGAAAAATAACTAGTTATTTAACTAGTTGACGAAACCCCGATAACCGTTTCGTTTCGTTGACGGCAAAACCGTCAACGACCCACCTCTATATGGAATGTACCTTCTCCAGGAACTTTAAAATATTAAAATTAAAAAAAAAGACTATGGACTATATATATATATATGGATTGTATATATAATCTCAATAAAAATTAACCGTTTCCACTCGGATGCCGCCGCTCCGGCGACAAAATACATACAAGTTTTGAAATGTCCGAGTGGAAAGGGTTGAATTACATTTGCTAAACATTTTAACTGATAATTCTTTGATTTATTATATGTGTTTATTTGCGTGTATATTGAATAATTCGAAATTCAAAGTTTTTCAAAATTTTGAGTATAATACTTCTTTCAAAATTTGAGTAATAATGCTTAAGTAATAATTTTTTTTTTCAAGCCATTAGTACAAAGATAACTCTATAACAAGGCCAATTTTATGTTAATTATATAATTTTTAGAAAATGAATAATTTAATACATTTCTAATTAGAACAATCCAAACTAAAAAATAATAATTTGATTTAAATAAATAGTTTGTATATGGTTATATAAAAAGGAGACTTTCAGTTCAGAAAAATAAAATCATAAATATATTTATGATTTTTATAAAAATTATATTTTATTTATTTATTAATATTGTGGTATTAGCTATCTATAAAAACTAAAAATAATAATATATAATTTTTTTTTTATTTCTTTACCCAGAACCATTCGTTTCGTCAATACAAGTAGAAAGTTTTTTAAATCATTCAAATCGAATGCTTAGTTCTCTCAAAAACAGCCATTTTTTGCACATTAAGCTTGGTATCTCCAAAACGGCTGGACCTGCCTTTGCCAAAAACTAATCACCACTTCTACCCGTCTTTACGAATTGAATGGTTTTTTGGACCATTCAATTCGGATGCTCCGTTCTGTCAAAAACTCGATGTCTATTATCTGCACTTTTTGCCCTGTATCTCCGAAACGGCTGAACCTGCCTTTGTCAAAAACTAATCAGCAGTTCTCCTTATCAATACGAATCGAGTGTTTTTTGAATTATTCAAATCGGCTGATCGGTGTTCTCGAAATCGTCGACGAAAATTTGTATCCGCACACACACACATACATCCATTTTTTCTAAGGTATGCCAAAATATTCAGAAACCTTTGAAACGTATAAAGATATATAAAAGTTTTTATTTTCGATTTTTGGATGATTACGATAACTTACCCTACGGGGTAATAATAATAAATGATTAATTAATTAATTAGTTTGTATACGAAACTGACGATTTCAGCTCAAAAAATTATAAATAATATTAACTATCTAGCAAAACGACAAATTATAAATTAAAAGTTACAAATTATAAATTAAAGATTAGAGATTCAAGTTAAAAAGTCACATGATGGTCCTAATAAAGGCCTCCAGGTCGATCAAAATCAATCAATATTCATATAATTCTTAAAATGGCCATGTTTTTAACGAAATTTATAATAATAAAACAAATATCATATTTTATTTAAAGAAATATGTAAGAATTTTTAAAATGGCTATGTTTTAACTAAATTAATATTAATAAAATAAATATCATATTTAATTTAAAGACATATGTAAGAATTTTTAAAATGGCTATGTTTTTAACTAAATATATAATAATAAAACAAATAATATATTTTATTTAAAGAAATATGTAAGAAAGTTTACCTCAATTTTCCAAATTTCCATATGAGTACATATGTATATTATAAACTGCGACTTCTGTTTACCCATCCTTGATTATAATTTGCACTTTCTGTCCCAAAAAACACCTCGATGCGGTTCTGTTTGTGTGTAGTGGTTTTCTCAAAACTTGTTCCTTTTCAATTCTTTTAAGTTATTATTCCGCGGTAATTATTATGTTCTTGCAGCATGAAATATTGTAGAAGATCGTGCCGGCTATGAATGTCTGCGTGAGCAAAATACCGAAGACTTTTGCTAGAGACGATGGTAAACAAGACAAATTTAAAGTTATCTAGATAAATAATTATAATAGCCAATATGATTAGCCGATTACTTAATCAGTTATTATTTTAGTAGGTATACTTTATTTGTTTATAAAATAATTAGGCAACGTGCCGGTAACTTTGTCAGCAATGATGATATACAAAATAAATTCAAAGCTATCTCTATATATTTTCAGCAAATCTGTAACTTTGTCTGCAACGATAATATACAAAACAAAATCAAAGCTATCTCTATTTGTTTGAAAAATAATTAGCTAATTAACCGGTAACTTTGTCAGCGGCGATGATATACTAAACAAATTTAAAGCTATCTCTGTACATTATATAATCAGTAACTTTATCAGGACGATGATATACGATACAAAATTAAAGCTATAAATATTTATTTATAATATAAAATTAGCAAACTAAACGGTAATTTGTTTAAAAAAGAATTAGTTAATTAATAGATAACTTTGTCAGTGACGATGATATACAACACAAAATTAAAGTTATCTATTTGTTTAGAAAATATTAAGTTAATAGATAACTTTGTCATCAATTAATCTGTAACTTTGTCTGCGACGATGATATACGACACAAAATTAAAGCTATAAATATATATTTATAATATAAAATTAGCAAATTAAACGGTAATTTTTCAAGCCACCATGATATACAAAATAAATTTAAAGCTATCTCTACATATTTCAGCAAATTAATCTGTAACTTTGTCTGCGACGATGATATACAAAACAAAATCAAAGCTATCTCTATTTGTTTGAAATTTAAAGCTATCTCTTTATATTTACAGCAAATTAATCTGTAACTTTGTCTGCGACGATGATATACAAAACAAAATCAAAGCTATCTCTATTTGTTTGAAAAATAATTAGCTAATTAACCGATAGCTTTGTCAGCGACGATAAACAAAATAAATTTAAAGTTATCTCTATATCAGCAAATTAATCTGTAACTTTGTCTGCGACGATGATATAGAACACAAAA